ATGTATATTTATATAGGTGTCTATGTCTAACATTAAATGAAAATCCCGTGCATGAACAACTATTGCCATGCACGCTCGTCATTCAAGTAATCGTTTAGTGAGTAATAGGCTTTGTTCAGTAAATATGATTTGGGGTCAATGTCAATGGGGTCCTATTCCCCAACCCCCTTCCCCCTCTATGTATATCTTTATTTTTTTAAACGTATACGTACGTACACTCATTTGAAAAGAATAAGAGAAGTTTCTTGTCTCTTCTCATCTTGAAATCATTCCGAACTGACGGTAGATTTGACATATCATAAGAGTCTGTAATAGACCTACATGAATAAAGATATTTTGATTGATTATATATGTATTTACAAAAAAAGGATTATTATTATTTTAGCAATTACTGTGCCATATTTAGCGTCATGGTATACGGAAGTGACACAACATCAAACACCTGCCTATAAAAAGGCTCAAATGAATTATCTTTGACCTAATACATATATTTAACTAGCTTTTGTAAGCGGCTTTACTCGCGTTAATTTATCCCCTTAGGGGTGAAATTTATCAAAATCCTTTCTTAGGGGATGCTTACGTCATAGTAGCTTTGTGCATGTAAAGTCTCAGCCCGATCGGTTTAAAATTGACAAAGTTTCATACAAAATTTCATCCACTATTTTATCCCCTTGGGGGTAGAATTAATCAAAATCCTTTCTTAGCGGATGCCTACATCATAACATCTACCTGCATGCTAAATTTCAACCCGATCCGTCCAGTGGTTTGGGCTGTGCGTTGATAGATCACTATGTTGTACTATGTGATACTCACCTTTGAGTTATATATATTTAAACTTGCTGTACACGCGACTTCGTCCGCGTGGAATTTAACTTTATTTTTCTAAAATAAAAGTAGTCAAAGTTACTCCTTATTACATCAACTACCTAAAAAGTCCCGTCAAAATCGGTCCAATCATTTCAGAGATTAGCCGTAACAAACAGACAGACAGACAAAATATGTAAAACAAAATATTTTGGTGTATGAGCCGTATTGATATATGCAAGTAGTGAAAAACGGTTATTTCAATATTACAAACAGACACTCCAATTTATCTGTATAGATTGTAATATAGGGTTGCCAAGCCAAGCAAAATTAAAAAAACTAGGATTAAATGTTCAAAATAGGGACTATCCAGTTCAAAAACAGAACGCAGTAATAGTGTTGCAATAGTTATATTAATGTGTAGTAAAATTCAAGTAATTAATATAATCAGGTTTTAATAAAACGTATTTGATAAAATTATACTGTTGAAAATCAGTAATTAAGAGGCGCGCATGTTTTAATAACCCAGCACGCTGACGAATAACTATTCAGGACTTACCAGGACACTTCAAAAACTAGGACATGTCCTGGGAGAACAGGACGGTTGGCAACTCTATTGTGATATTATTCAACACATTTCTAAAATTTCACCCCACCTGCATTCGTGAATGCGCAGTCGCTTGCCTAAGGCCGATTCGACAAGTCAGCCAGTGTAGTGTAGACTCGCAGAAAGTAAAGGTGATAGTGAGTGGTCGGTCGAAAGTGGCAATAGTTATGCATTATCATAAATAAGTGCAAGATTATTGGAGTGTATCTATATGTGTCGATGAGTTATATAAGTTGAAGGTAAGTGATAACTGAGAAATGACTTTGTTTGTATCTTATTAATTTTATAAACGCAAATTATTTATTTTTAATTGTGTGGTCCAATTCAAGTGGGATCGATATTACGACGGCCTGAGCCGAGGTTCGAACCCCTAGCGGTGCCCTCAAACTAAAGTCGTATCCGTCAGGCGGGAGTTGGCCTTCAGCCGCTCCATAAGTCCTTCCTTGGTTTGGAGTGCCATCTGTACTCGCCCCTGAAGGTGTAAAGGCCAGCTGCGGCCAACAGTTTTAAAGTAGTCCGAAAATAAAAATAAAATTAGGTTTATTATAAATCATTTTTAGATAATGTAGTAAGTCTCAAAATGAACTGGAAGTGTAATTTATAGCGTCAATTTATCTGAGAATTATGAGAGTATATATAAAAAAAATTGTATATATACATATATAAACCACTATATTTATTTGAATTAATTTTACAATTAAATAAAATGAAGTAAATAGCAACGATAACTCATATATTTAGTAAAATTAACTTACTTAGTGGGTTTAAAATTTAACTAAGAATAAATAAATAAAATATTACTGGTGTAGACAAACAATGCCATTTTTAGATTTTATCCTGGACTAGCTTTTGCACGCGTCTTCGCTCGCATCTTCGCTCGCGTTAATTTATCCCCTTAGGGGTGGAATTTATCAAAATCCTTTCTTAGGGGATGCCTACGTCATAGTAGCTTTATGCATGCAAAGTGTCAGTCCGATAGGTTTAAAATTGACAAAGTTTCATCCCCTATTTTATCCCCTTGGGGGTAGAATTAATCAAAATCCTTTCTTAGCGGATGCCTACGTCATAACATGTACCTGCATGCCAAATTTCAGCCCGATCCGTCCAGTAGTTTGGGCTGTTCGTTGATAGATCACTATGTCAGTCACCTTTGAGTTTTATATATTTAGATAGTGTCTAGCAGAATATATCGTGTTTTAAGATTATTAAGATATCTAAATCTTGTTATTTCAAGAAATAGAAATAATCTTTATTCAAATAAACTCAATACAAGCACTTTTGAATAGTCATATTTTTTATTCTACCACTCATTCGGAACGCAGATTCATCACAAGAAGTATGAGCAAGAAACTTGTGTGTTGCTCTTTTGAATAAATGTTTTTTTTTTAATATAAATAATTACATAATAACAAGTAAATGGCATGCGATAATGAACACAGAAACTGCTACGCACTCATTCTTTAAGCAATCAGATATTATTGTCAGCACTATGAATTTTAACAAAAACATTAAGAATAGAAAATCATTTATTCAAATAAACTTACATTGAAGCACTTTTGAATAGTCATTACATAAAAGAACGAAGAACGAGCAAGAAACTTGCGTGTTGCTCTTTTAATCATCTTTCAATCATTATTATCGTTAACGAATTCTTCAATTTTGTAATATGATTTTTTACAAAGGTATTGCTTTATATGACATTTAAATCTTTTTTCAGGCAGTTTAGAACAGACTCTGGTTGTTTATTGTAAAACCTTACGCAATTACCATAAAACGAATTACTTTATATAATATGATGTTCAACGGCATATATTGACCTTGTAATTTTCGTGGTCAATCCGTGATGAATCGCCTTGACAAATGGTATGTCATCAGATTTCTTACACATGTATTCATCTACAAGCCCCTTAAACCACACCACTGTCGCAAGATTAATGTCAACCAAAAACACTAAGTTACATAACGAAGGGAAATTACCCAGTTATTCATACCCGTTGAGCGGATATGAAATCCTTGTTTACATGTAACTCGACACTGACAAGTCCACTTTCTCCGGCGCCGCGTGCGTTGAGTGCCCGGCGTACCACCCACCGGTACACTCGGCCGCAGCCGCGTTTGAACCGACAATCTTGCGCAAGCGCAGCATTAGGCTACTCGCTCATTTACAACTATATTTATTTTTTTGTAATAGCACGGATATGACTATAAATTAAGTTTAGTAACTATCAAAGCAAAGTTAGTAAAATTACGGAAATTACTTTCCGAGATCCATAATGGATTTTAACATATTTATTGATTTACTTATAAATAGATTTATATGTGATTGAAAACATTGTTATGTGTTTTAAACATTTTAACAACCACGAACAATTCCAATGATACAAATGACGCCCTCTATCGGTTTTATGGAATGGTGCCTCACGAGTAATAAATAAAACTGAAAACTGAAAAATGTTTTACTTCTTAAAAGGCCCACAACGCACTTACAATTCTCCTGATGTTGAGGGTGCTCAGATGCAGAGTGACCGACATAGCCCGAAGAATTGCGACTTTGAAGTGGCAATGGGCAGGACACATAGCTCGTAGGACAGATGGCCGTTGGGGCAGTAAAGTCCTCGAGTGGCGACCACGGACCGGAAGACGCAGCGTGGGAAGGGCTCCAGCAAGGTGGACCGACGATCTGGTCAAGATCGCTGGAAGGCATTGGATGCGAGCAGCGCAGGACCGATCGTCGTGGAGATCTTTGTGGAAGGCCTTTGTTCAGCAGTGGACGTCTTCCGGGCTGCGATGATGATGATGATGATGATGAGGGTGCTCATGGGCGGCGGTAATCACTTACTATCATGTGAACTGCATGCTAGTGTCCCCTATGCTATAAAAAAAATTAATTACAAAAATGGTTAATCAACACAGCCCTCAGTTGCTAAGTCTAAGGGCTATGCCTCAGACTAAAGTCGTATCCGCCAAGCGGGAGTTAGCCTTTAGCCGCTCTATAAGTTCTTCCGCAAGTTTGGAGCGCCGGCGCTGTCTGCACTCGCACCCTATCGTCCGGTTGCGGCTAACAGCATTAGAGTAATCCGGAAAAAAAAATCAGTTGCTAAGTGTGTGTGGAGCCTGCCGGGGTCAATGGTGCATGACGTCACCGCCCGTTGACTGCGACGTAACTCACGTAACATCAGCACCCGAGTCGAATACTGATGACTCAGGTGTTTTGAAACATTTCACTATAACTAGGTCCGCTCCGATCGATCCCCCGTCCAATTCAAACGGGGATCGAAATTACGACGGCCTGAGCTGAGGTTCTAACCCCTAGCTTTGCTCTTAGACTAAAGTCATATCCGTCAGGCGGGAGCTGACCTTCAGCCGCTCCATAAGTCATTTCGCGGGTTTGCAGTGCCATCTGCAGTCCCCTCCTATCGCCCAGTGAAGCTGTAAAGGCCAGCTGCGGCCAACATTAGAGTAGTCCGGAAAAAAATCAGTTGCTAAGTGTGCGTGGAGCCTGCCGGCGGTCAATGGTGCATGACGTCACCGCCCGTTGACCTGCGACGTAACTCGCGTAATATCGGCACCCGAGTCGAATACTGATGACTCAGCTGTTTTGAAACATTAACTGTAAGTAGGCAACTAAGTACACCGAGCAGGATCTACGATACTACTCTATCTACGTAAGAGTCGACACGTGGCACGCATAAGAATGTCACTCGTTGTATAGAAAGTTTGTTACATAATTATGGTATAAAACTATGATATGGAGTTCTTTACCAAATTTAAATAGTTTACGATGTGTACATAATGATCCTCGTTGTATTGTTTATTGTGTATGGGCCTAGTCTAAATATATATACCTAACTCAAAGGTGTCTGACATAGTGATCTATCAATGCACAGCCCAAACCACTGGACGGATCGGGCTGAAATTTGGCATGAGGTAGATGTTATGACGTAGGCATCCGCTAAGAAAGGATTTTGATTAATTCTACCCCCAAAGGGATAAAGCAGGGGGATGATGCAGGATGTAAATGTATTAGTTTGAACCTATCAGTACCTAATGGAACGAATAAATTAAGACGAACAAAATAACGTTTAGTTCTTTAGGCTACTTTTATTTTAGAGAAATAAAGTTAAATTCCACGCGGACGAAGTCGCGGGAACAGCTAGTGTGCCTATATATAACGGTTGGTAACAATTTGCTGAATAATTCCCAGTTAGGTAGTATCAAAAATACATTTTTTTTTATAACACGGGACAAACGAGCATGCGGCTCACCTGATGGTAAGTGATTCAGCCGCCCATGAGCACCCGCAATACCAGGGGAATTGCAAGTACGTTGTCGGCCTTTTAAAAAGGAATAAGCTCTTTTCTTGAAGGTTTCAATATCGTATTAAAACCTATATACGACGAAAAACTATATATGTATGTGTATATAAGTGAAGGTTACGTCCTTTTATCTAGTCGGCCAATAGCTTGCTTGCCATATTACATCAACAAACTCCAAAATCATTATTCTGTCATCCAATTTTGTTTTGCGGAAAATTGGAAGTCTCGTATTATCTGTGGTATTATGTTGTTAATAGATATACAAAGTTATATATTATAGTGTAAAATAATTAAGAATGAAGGGCATAACAAATTAGTATGTCTGCAGAAGAAGTCTTTTTTATTTTCCCGCGCAAGCGTAATGCACCACAGATACATTATATTGCACGGCGCGCAGCCATTGTTGCAGCGCAAGTTCATTAATCTATTTCTATTAATATTCCAGATGAATCAAGTATTCTACATAACACTTGCCCTGTTGGTCCTCGGGCATGCCAACACTGAGGACACGTCAGCAGACACGTGTGAGGCAGCATCAGGACCGTGGGGCATTCTGCTTGAGGAATGGGCTACTCAGCCAACCAGTGATGTTTCTTCGAGACACGGTGAGTTCGTTACACCTATTGACAAATAATTTTAAACTGCATTTGTTCTAAATTCAAAATAAGTGTTATATTCTGTTTGACAGACTTGGTGGTTTAGTGATTTCGCAGACCGCCTTATTTCTGTACGTTGCGGGTTCGATTTCTCGCTCGATATTAATATTTGTATTCATGATTATGATTGTTTGTATTAGTCTGGGTGTATTCTATGTAGATATATTTTATCTCTCTCTTTTCCTCTCTATTTAACTTATCCTCTGCCTCATACATGGGTAATTTTCCTGCATCTAAATATCTAATGCAAGCATGTACATATATGTGTATATATATATATATCCAATATTATGTCTTATTGTTAAGTTACTACGTAAGTGTTTGTATTATAATGCGTCACTTACCAACTTCTCAGTTTGCCTTATGGCTGACTGGTAGAGAACGCCCTTACGTGTTAAGTTCGCCATATGTACATTTATATATTGTATTTGTGTATTAAAGTTTAAATAAATCAATAGAATAGTAAATCATTTATTCAAGCACTTAATTTAAGCACTTTTGAATAGTGCTAACATTTTTTTTATCTACCGCTCGTTCGGAATAGCTGTCTCATCACAAGACTATTTTCTATTCTATCTAATAAATATATTATGTATGTATTTAAAAATATATTCACGTAGATATTTCTATCAATTGTGTTGTACCCATAATATAAGCTCTGCCTAGGCTGGGACTAGATGGCGCTGTGTGAATTGTCCAGCTACAAACATTTATACACATCAATGTTTATTAGTACTTTGAACCTTATCGCCAAGCTCCTACTTCGTTTTAGCAGAGCAGAATAGACATGAACTGGTATATATTATTGTTAAAGAAACTTATAACTTCCACAGGTCGAGTAATGTCTCTACCATCCACAAAAGGCTACTACGTGATAGACCGCATCGACAACCAGCTGATACCTCCTCCACCCCCACCGCAGCCCCACCACAAGTACCACCCCGGGGCACCACAACCGTCCTCGCCGCAGTACTATGAAGAGTGGCAGGCCACCCCGCCGCCGTCGCCCGCCGGTGGAAAAATACTGAACCGACCACCGAACCCTCATAAGGACATGTTCAAGCCTAGTTATGAGTATGTGAGTACATTAACATCTTTTCTGTTCTGTTCTATGAACACTCTTCATTATTAGTTGACTTTACACCAGCGATGTTATGGATATGTAATTTCGGATACGGATAGGTTTCGTATATAGGAATGATTATTATACCGGATACGAATACGCATGCAGATATAAGATTATTTCGGATTAACCGTTAGTTTCGGATAATGTCGATTACGATTTTAAATTTTTTAAGGAATGTCAAAAGTAAAATACAAATATTTAATAAAATGGTTACATATCGTGTCTCAATTAGGCTCCGCTCCTACCCGATATTATCCAAAACTTTTATTTCGGATTCGGTTACGGTTACGAATATTTTTTTATATCGGATATCCGATAGTGTCGGTTACGGTTACGGATCTCCCTAACATCCCTGCTTTACACGACACGTTGATCCTCGGAACGGAGAGGTCGCTCCGTGAAGCCTGGGAAATTTCTTCGCTTTTGGGAGAAGCTTGGCTGGCTACTCTAGTAGTCTCGGCTCTACACACACAACGGCACAGATGTGAGGCTGATTGCAGAAAATGGAGTCCAATTTACATTTACACGACACGTTCTATTACGAAGAAGAAGAGAAGCTCCTTCTCTTCGTCCGAGATTTAGCGCGGGAAAACCAGAGCGCGGAATCGAGACTGATTGTTTTTATTCACTTTTTGTCTTCTCTCTTTCATGCGCGATTTCTTGTTTCATTTAATTTCGTTTACTTTTAAAATCTAATTTCTTTTTGCCATACATTTTTTCGAAAGACTATTTTTTTTTAGTCAGGTGTCCGCCATTTTGCAATACTATTTGATTATTACAAAAAGGCGCGAAAGCACGCACGTTTGACGGCAATGAAATTCTTTCTTGTTCTCTTTATCTGACTTTACTAATGCACACTCTTTCTAGCGTGAAAGCCGAATTTGAAGATGTGCATGACGTCAGGTCAGTTAGCCTACAATTTAGGCTAATTCGCCAAGAATTTATCATGATGTTTTCCAGAGGAAAGCGGAGGTCAACCTGCTAGCAATGTAATGTACCATCGTACCGTATCGTAATTGCCAGCATTGGGGTATTTAGGGAGCTGTGAGTAATGTGGACTAGTTTATTCACAATCCCCTTCTCCCTGATGATCCCCCTCCTGATTAGTAGATCAGGTTACTACAATATTGTAATTGATCATTACACAGCCGCCACCGTCCATCAACCAGCCGATTCCAGTCCACCCCCAGCAGCATCCGCAGGCGCCGTCCCGACCGCACCGTCCGGCCGCTGACCGACTGGACGAGCAGCCGTCACAACCTCACAAGCACGTCACGGAGACGGACCTGTACCTACTGACAGCTATAGAGAAATTGGTATTCCGAGTAGATATCATGGAGAAGAGGCTCAGGAAGATGGAGGAGACGATGCATTATATGGTCGCGGGGAAGGACACAATACCAGGTACCAATTTCATGTAGAGAAGTATGAAGTAATTTGAATTAAAATATAAATTAACACAAATTTTAGACCTGATTTTCACTCATCGTGAGTTGGAAGAGTTGGGATCGGTATAGAATAAAGTAGAGTAGACTAATTCATTAGAGTTAAAATATGAAATACACAATCAACAGGTTAAGTAACTAAACTAATTCTAAGACGCAGAATTGGAGCAGACTCTACAAGAACGTTCACGTGTATAACGGATGCTATAAAAAGGCTATACACTCTTATAAGTTGGTCCCATCCGATCGATCTCCCGTCCAATTCAAGCGGGGATTGAAAGACGACGGCCTGAACCAAGGTTCCAACCCCTAGCGGTGTCCTCAAACTAAAGTCGTATCCGTCAGGCGGGAGTTGGCCTTCAGCCGCTCCATAAGTCCTTCCTTTGTTTGGAGTGCCATCTGCACTCGCCGTCTATCGTCCTGTGAAGCTGTAAAGGCCAGCTGCAGGTAAAAGTATTAGAGTAATCCGTAAAAAAATATGTGTAGTATATGCATACTATATTTTCCAGAACCGTGTAAGGCGAATTTCACACGAGTGGGCGGAACGTGTTACTATTTCTCATCGGACGCCGCAGACTGGAAGAGAGCCAAGTTGCACTGCGGGAAACTGCGCGGCAACCTGCTGGAGTTCGACACCGACGCTGAACGAAAGCAGCTGCTGTCCGCTATGTTATCTGATAAGCGGCTCAGAGGTATCAACTTCTTTCATATAATTTAATTGGAATGTGATTTGCCAGCTCCGCTCATGTCATGTATATAGGATAGCAGAGATCACAATTTTTAAACTATTGCATAGCTTTTATCGCGTGCTTTGAATGTGGCGACCGAATCAAGAAATTCTGTAACGAAAATAAACCTAACACTCTGAAATCGGACGAATACGTAAGCAGCTGTTTGTAAGAAAGTATATTATTTTATTACCGTATAATAAATTGTTTTCTTATCGGTCACCACGCGCAAAAAGTGTAACTTGAATTAATATTAAAGAAAAATATGTAAAAATACTGCTTAAATAAATAATTATAATTGCATAAGTTGATAAAAAATGCTATGCAATAGCTTTACCGCGGCAGTCCCCGAGTGCCACTTATTTTTTTTTTATGATGTGGTTGCATATACGACGGCCATAAGATGGTAAACGGTTACGGTAGCCTATGAACGCCTGAAGCACCATGGGTGTCACGTGCTTGTGGCCAATCCTTAACCTAACCTTTGAGCGTTGAAACCTTAATACCTTATGCCCTTTTAGAAAAATCCCATACTGTAGTCTCTAGAGAAAATCTCGGCAAGTAGTTCATTCAGAAATCTAAGTGGACCTCTCACGCAGGAGGAAGCACCTTTGAAACCGCACTGTCCGAGACCACTGTTGTTTGTATCGAGGAACCGACGTTACCCTTCTATCCAGAACACAGTTTACAAAGCATATAGCTTGCAGCAAATATTGAGGAGAGGTCAGAAACGACTTTATTCAGTCTCCCTCTAGCCTGATCAATTGATTTCCGCAGGTGACGACTGGTGGACCGGTGGCCTCAACCCTGGCCTTCTCTGGATCTGGTCGCACTCTGTACAAGGAGTCCTTGGCAATATTACCACTACCACCAACTCTTCCCAAACACCCACCATAGTAGGCGACGGTCGGTGTCTGGCGCTGACTTACGACCCTGCAGCCGTCACCTACAAGTACAGGGGACTCGACTGCGCGGAGAGACGTAGATTCGTGTGCGAGAGAGAAGAGGACAAGGAAAGACTTAGCAATGAGATAGAGAGAGTCGCCAGACAGTTGAAGTTTACTGCCCACGGGCTGCGGAAAGCGAGGACTTCGTGGAACGATAATGGTGGAAGTGATTAATTTAGATAAAAACTATATTTATGAAGTATTGATTACATTAGACGACCTCGGTGGTCTAGCGGTCGAGCACACCTCTTTACGACCGATGATCGCGGGTTCGATTCCTCGCAAACATTTGTATTTATGAGTATGATTGTTAGTATCGATCTGGGTGTTTTCTATGTATAATATGTATGTATTTACAAAAAGAAATCTATGTATTTGTATCAGTTATGTAGTACCCATAACACAAGCTTTAGCTAGCTTAACTTGGGTCTAGATGACGCTGTGTGAATTGTCCTGAGATTATTATTATTATGATGATTATATTATATTAGTATTTTTTCAATGGATGATAATGGTATGGTGCACCCGCTTGCGGTAACGGTAAACGCTGGCGGGGCACCAGTGGAGGATAAGATAAGTACGAGGTCAGGTCAGTTAGCACATCATGGCAAATTTACCAGAAATAAGGCGAGCCAAGTCAAATAGCCCATAGTGCCAAATGTAATAGGAATTTATCACGGTTTCCAGGGGGAACCAGCATGGTGGTCAACATGACATAGACATAGCAATGAGGTCATTAGTACCCATTATACAATACCTTTCCTCCACTTTACAAGTACATCACATTCCTACACATCACTTTAGAATGCCTATTGGAGAAATCTCTTGTGTATATATCTCTTATGATAATATTTGTATGGGAGAATGTTTGGAAAATTGTAAGGGTAATTATAGGATAAATAAATGAACGAATAAATCTATACATATAAATGAAATTGGGGTATCTGTACACACTACCAACAAGTTTTGTGGTAGTTTTTAATATCCTAAAAAGTGGTTATAATAAAAGAGTCACATTATAATAATATCTTATATTATACTACAATATTTACAGTTTTATGAATCACAACATAATAAATAACTTATTAAAAATAAACATTTATTATGACTGCAAGGCGCTTAATGCAATACGATGTAATTCGTTAACTACAGTTCAATTTAACTACTCCGATAGAAAACGTTCTTATATTACTACCAGTCGGTGAACAGCCACCATCATTTGCCACTATTACAATATAAAATAACTACAATATTATATTACACTAGCTTTTGCCCGCGGCTTCGCTCGCTTTAATTTATCCCCTTAGGGGATAGTAGCTTTATGCATGCAATTCTCAGACCGATAGGTCTAAAATTAACAAAGTTTCATACAAACTTTCATCCTCTATTTTACCCCCTTGGGGGTGGAATTAATCAAAATCCTTTCTTAGCGGATGCCTACGTCATAACATCTATCTGCATGCCAAATTTCAGCCCGATCCGTCCAGTGGTTTGGGCTGTGCGTTGATAGATCACTATGTCAGTCAGTCACCTTTGAGTTATATATATTTAGATTAATATTCTGCCAACATTGACAAATGATGTAACCGTCCAGCACATTAGCTAACAATTTACAAATGCTATTTCATACAGTTCATTCTATACTAAATTACATATATTATTATATTATTCTTATGTTCATTTTAAAAGTGGAAGCTTCTTATATATTATTATTAAAGCATTTTTAATAATATATTTAAATACATTAGTACAGAACAAACTATATTTAGCTTAAAGATCATAATTTGTTACATTTTCGTGATATTTACAGTCTGGCAACACTGACTGTACCTTTTTTAACTTTAGTAGAGTTTTATTGTTTTTAATTTTACGGCTCTGGATATAATACAATTCAGCCCAACTTAAACAGGTAAACTCTAAGTTTTACAATACAAATTATAAAAATTAAAAACAACAATAGTGTGTCGTGTCTGTTGTTTGTAAACAGAGAAATTGTTATCAATAATTAAACTTAATTTATTCACTTACGTTTCGAAAATTAAGTATTTATTTATTAATAAATTGTGTACACTGGACCCTGTGTTTTATTTTTATTACAGATAAGCATCAGAACTGAACAATTAGAATTTTAGTGACATTTTTCGATATTATTTTACAGAGACATCATTAATTGTTTACGTTATTTTACAAAATATATACAAGAAATTCGATGAAATATAATTAATCTATACATATAAATAAAATTGTAGTGTCTGTTTGTAATAATGAAATAACCGTTTTTTACTACATGCATATGAATGTAAATACGGTACATAAACCAAAATAACATTCTTTACAATTTTTGTCTGTCTGTCTGTGTGTTCCGGCTAATCTCTGAAATGGCTGGACCGATTTTGACGGGATTTTTTGGCAGATAGCTGCTGTAATTAGGAGTAACTTAGGCTACATTTATTTTAGAAAAATAAAGTTAAATTCCACGCAGACGATGTCGCGGGAAAAGCTAGTTGATTATAAAAATAGCGACCATTCATTTGTGCTTTGTAATAATATTTATTCACCAGCTAAGTAACTGCATAGCTGTATTTTTTTTATATTTGACTTTTTAATTTTTTAAAAAATGACAAGATCTTAGTTCATTTTATTTTTATCGAGTTCCCAATATTTCGGCAGTTTTCAACCGCCATGATCACGGATAAACTAAAAGCAGTGGGTAGATGGTAAACAAAAAATCTTTTTTATGTTATAGGTATTTAAAATCTTCATTACATAGTATAAAACAAACTTGCTGTCGCTGTGTGTCCGTCCCTATGTATGCTTAAATCTTTAAAACTACGCGACGGATTTTGAAGCGGTTTTTTAAGAGATAGAGTGATTCAAGAGGAAGGTTGATATGTAAAAAGCCGGGGTGGGTAGCTAGTATATAATGAAAGTGGTAAGATCCCGTTATTTTTAATAATTATAATAGGTACATACAAGTATTGTGTTTCAAATGCAGTTTGTACTTTTGTTATTATTGAAACGCATTATTTTTTCTTTCTTTCTTTTTCTTTCTTTCATTACTCCCTTTATTCATAACATCCAGAAATCCATAACTATTGGAGTTCTACCACTTATTGAACTTTCAACTGTTAGCTGTCAAAATTACATTAACGCAGACCCGTTACAGGACTTTTCACAAATGGTACTGAAGACAACGGCTGTATGGGCTTAGACTCTTTGCCTTTCATATAATATAAAAAAAAAACAAAAAAAAATAGGGCTATAATGTCCGAGTCCAATAATTGGATCCCTCCCAGACGAGAGGTTAATAAAAAAAATGCTTTAAAGTAAACAACTTCACTTCAATAGTTAAAATGATTTCATTGGATGTTTCGACATTTTTATGTGAAAGGAGTATATTTAGGTTAGTAACAAACAATCCATTTTCAAATTGATATGAAAACAAGCATAAATATTAGAGATGAAACGGATAGCATTTTGGCCGGATACTGGACACCGGATATTCGGCCAACCATGTGACCGAATAGCCGGATATCCGGCGGAACTAACTAACTAATAAATTAATTTTCTTTATATAACAGTCATTTACTATTGAGTGATTAAAAATTTAAAACTAAATAAAGCAAATAATTACTAATACTTAAAAAAAAAAAATTTTACCCAGTTTTTTTCGGCCGGATGCCTATCCGGTTGAATAGTAGTTATCCGGTATTCGGCCGGATAGGCCGGATACCGGATAGTTACCGGATATCCGTTTCATCTCTAATAAATATAATAATCCAATCGAGTATTTAAATTGATAGTTACGAGTTGTATTAGTAACAGAATCACAATTTAGGGCATGCATCCTAGTTTTATAGATACTCATCGCCATAAAAATGTTATTTTATTAATATATATAATATAGACTGCGACTAGCTAGCAACGAATTAAGAAAAATATATTTAGAATACTAAATCAGAATTAGTTCGTTTTCACTACCTGTACTGGAATACATCATTAACTGCCTTTACACTTTTCCTCGCGATTCGGTTCGCGCGCGATTCAGCGCGGGAAAGACAGCGAGCGCAATCGTGAGTGATTGTATTTGACTATTTTCTGTGTTCTTTCGCGTGTGATAGCGCGCGCGTTTCATGTTATTTCACTTAATTTTAAAATGTATTTTATACTAGCCTTTACCCGCGGCTGTGCTCGCATTGAAAGATTATTTTTAGAAGAACGAGAGTCCTATGTTCATTGTAATAACTCCAAGTCAATGTGAACAAAATTCATGATGATCGCTTCAGTAGTTTTTGCGTTGAAGCGTAACAAACATAGCTACTTTCACATTTATAATATTAGTACGGATACCACAGATATTTTCTAATACGTTTTTATCAGTAACTCTATAATTGTCTTTGCTCTATAGTCAGATAATTAATTATTACAAAAAGTCGCTAAAGCAATCCCCATTATTGTTCGAAGGGATGCGCTCACTGTTTACACGCGCCCCTCGTTCTCTTTCTCTACATTTACATACACATTGTATCCTGCGTGAAAGCCGAATCGCGCGCGAAAGAGCAAACATACAAAGGCAACTAACTATAATCAGAACTGTTTGTATGACTGACCACTACAAGAATCACTCAAATTAAACAAATTCAAATTCAGCAGTCAACCTTATTCATAGAACCTCAATAAATTACAATCTTTAGAATCATTCTAGCAACATAAAGGATAATATAGCGTGATAGCTAGTATAGTTTTATTAGACGTTTGACATTTTTATGAATAAGGCTAAACTTCCTTTATAAACGTTTGATTTAATAAAAATATAGCCCGCGAGCCAGGAATATATCAAGGTACCCAATTTGGAATCGTGTATCAAGAATTAAAGAGCATGATGGAAGATCACGGAAAGTGGCAAGAGCTCCACTGACAAGAGCGTAGCTCTTAAATTATGAAGTCATTCAGACCGCATTTTAACCCAGTCCAAAACTTCTAAGATTATTTTCTATATTTGCTGCAATAAAGGGTATAAATAAAAATGGACTTTAAAGTTAGGAAACATAAGTGTTTCTATTATATATGGAAATTGTAATTATTATAATTCAATCCCTTCAGCTGATGATCAAGTTGATGGCTCGCGGCACTTAATATTACATATTTACTGGCATTAAATATTTACATAGTAATACAACATACAATATGTCAATCACAGAAATAGCCAATTTCATATTGGCGATGTTGGGAGTACATCTTTTTGCTGTCATTGTTATATGTTCATATGAAACAGGCAACACTGGCCATGTATGGTCCAAATTTGATACTGCCCTCAGAGCAACAAAAAGAGGGACACTAGGTACTTATTACAATAACATTTCAACTATAAAAATGTTAAAAAAACATTCATAATAACTCAGAACAATTCACACAGCGTCATCTAGTCCCTAGCTTAGTAAAGCTTGTTTTATGGGTACTAGACAACTGATACAAATACATAGATACATAATATATACAGAAAACACACAGACCGATACAAACAATCATACTCATGAATACAAAATGTTTGTACTGTGAGAGGAGGAGTCGAACTCGTGACCATCGGAAATAAAGTGTGCTAAACCGCTAGCCGAGCCCGTCAAATTATGTGATATATGATTTTTAATTCACCAAACATCAAACCTTTAGCAATACACCATTTATATATAAACATCAATTCAAAAGAGCAACACTCAAGTTTCTTGCTCATTCTTCTTGTGATGAATCTGCATTCCGAATGAGTGGTAGAATCAAAATATGACTATTCAAAAGTGCTTGTAATGAGTTTATTTGAATAAAGATTATTTCTATTTCTATAGCTTTACTGTATCATCAAATATTATTTAAATTTCTTTATGTTAGCACCAAATTTTGTCGCTCCGAGGTATATTCATATAATATAGACTTATTGTTGAAATTACTTATTATAACGAAATTAATAAATTAATTACAACTATTTGGTGGACAGAGTAATATAAATATGATTTTGTTTATGACGCAGCAAACACGAGTTTAGACCAGAGACAAAAAACTGTTTAAAAAATTCATAACTCATATACTTATTTATCGAGATAAAAAAAATAATGACATTTATTTCGTACAGTATGTATGTAAAATAAAAAATATCAGGAATTCATATGTTTTGTCCTTATTTGTAAACCTATTTTCTTGATACGAAAGAAAGGGACAAAACATTGTAATACATTTCAATGTGTACAATAAAATGTTTTGTCCTTTTTTTTTAAACTTATTTTCTTGATACGAAAGAAAGGGACAAAACATTGAAATACATTTCAATGTGGACAATATTTTTTTTTGTCCTTATTTGTAAACCTATTTTCTTGATACGAAAGAAAGGGACAAAATATTGTAATATATGTCAATGTGTACAATAAAATTATTCAGAAATAAAATGTTTTGCCCTTATTTATAAACCTATTTTCTTGATATGAAGGAAAGGGACAAAACATTGTTACTTAAATGAGTATGTTGGAAAATATTATGATTAGGGGGAAACACAAAATTCAGATATTGGTCTGTTTTTCCCTTATTATAAACCAATTTTCTTGATATAAAAGAAAGGGACAAAACATTGTTATATATTTTGAATGAGTTTGTTAGAGATTTTAATTTTTATCTATTTATGTATAGTGTTAATTAGTTGTTATAAAAATTGAGGTATTCGCGTCATCTATCTGTATATATGTCTATCCATTTGTAACGACGAAACTCAGCTCTACCGAGTGTCTCGTAATGGGTACTCACAAGCAAAGCCACGTGATAATATTCGTAAAACTAAATACTTCATTCGAAGCACAGGCGAAACGTGAATCAAAATGTGTGTTTTTCTATAACAGTGTTTTTCAATCTTTGATTTCGCGACCCCTTTACAGGTTATAATATTCTGGCGACCCCCTTGGGTCATAGAAAATCAAAGAAATAATTTAATTAAATGCCTACATACGTTAGTTGGGTAAACATCTGTTTTTATTTTGGTACATTTATGTATTATTTATAGGGTAATATATAATAATCTTATATATAAAATTCTCGTGTCACAGTTTTCGTTCCCATACTCCTCCGAAACGGCTTGACCGATTCTCATGAAATTTTGTGAGCGTGTTGAGTAGGTCTGAGAATCGGCCAACATCTATTTTTCATCCACTTAATGTTAGGGGTAGTCCATCCCTAAATTTTTTTTTTTATTTTAAGGCAAAATAACGTTTGCCGGGACAGCTAGTAATGTATAATAATATATACAGTGTATGATATGAATGTGGATGGATGTAAAGGGAGGGGACGCCCTAAGAAAAGATGTATGGATTGTGTGACAGATGATATGAATAAAAGAAGAGTATGCTCAGATATGACGACCGATAGAGAGCAGTGGAAGAGAATGACATACTGCGCCGACCACAACTTATGGGATAAAAGCAAGGCAATGATATGTATTATTTACACGGGCCACACTGTGTCAGCATTATTGACGTTGCCACACGGCGTTGTCGTTGCGTCTACAGTAAAATATCACCAAAATTGGATAAACTTTTAAAAAATATTGTTTATTTTTCAAAAGTTTATCCATCCATCAGTATATTATCCTAAGTTATAAGAAGAAATGATATTTTATAGTAATAAATACATTTCAGGACACCATTCCTTCCCACTAAATTCTGTTTTTGTTGTCAACAATCAAGGCATATATCCTCGGCTATCATTTCACATTTATGTTTTTTATAAACATATCCTCCCACAAAATTCTGTTTTTGTTATACTGTAACTTTTCACCCGACGACCCCCCGAATAAGGTTCGTGATCCCCTTAGGGGTCGTGACCCACAGATTGAAAAACACTGTCCTATAATAAGGGGCCTTCCGACTCCCTGAACGGCGTATTTTCGTTTTGGCACAAAGACATGTATAATAGTCAATCTAGTAGAATTAACGAAAAATTTCTATTGAAAGTATTGCTATCCCGCTTGTGTGAGAGGAGACGCAAGGTCTCTGAATAGAGAGAGACCGAATATCCAACAATATCTAAATTGTAATTATATTATGTGAACACACTCCTCTCAAATAGATGCAACTGAATGGTATGTACAAGCTCATTTGAAAAGAATACGAGCTGAATTTCTTGTCAGTTCTTTTCATCTCGAAATCATTCCGAACTGACGGTAGATTTGACATATCATAACAGTCTGTATTAGACTTACATGAATAAAGATATTGTGATTTGATTTATGGATGAAAAATTTTAAAATTACCTTTACATTTCGGCTATGCTATTTTGGGTAAGTTTAGTTTCTTGAATACTATCGGGCTTTCTTTTTCTTACTAGATATTCCATTACCACTAATCCTTGAACATCTTACTTAGGAGTTGTACATTAATCACGAGATTTTTTTTCTTTTTATATTTTTTAATTCCTTTTACCTCCCAAGAGGTGGGGCTCTTGGGAGGTTTAAGACTAATTTCTTCGCAAATCACGTGTATTTTTGTAACTACAAGGAATCTGAAATAATAACTTAATAATAATAACCCTGGACAATAAACACAGCGCCATCTAGTCCCAAGTTAAGCTTGTGTTATTGGTACTAGGCAACTGATAAAAATACATAGATTTTATTTTAAATACATACATAGAAAACACCCAGAACGATACAATCAATCATATTTGTGAATATAGATGTTTGTATCGTGCGAGGAATCGTACCTGCGACCATTTGAAGTAAAGCGATGTACTAAATGCCTAGAAGACCGTGGGCTTTTGGTTTGAGGCATCTTTGAATATAGGTATAAAGTATAATCTAATTTTATTCTAGAAAAGTGGCACTACACGCCACTTATAGAAAATGCTTGTGTTTGACAGGAAATTTAATACACATATCTTACTTGACTCCCTCTCCTTTTTTCAAATATTTCGTGTCTTTAACCGAACCTTAAAAGGCCTTTTCGTGCCTCACGTGATTAATGTACGAGCTCATCGACCGTGGTAAGGCATGGTGCCGGCAGCGCAGGTCGCCTTAGGTCGTCTAGTTGAAGTGGAACTTGAACTGGAAGGGGCTCCCGTGCTGGAAGTGGTGGAACGGGTTGTGGAAGGGTCCCTGTCCGCCGCGCTGCGACTCAGGGTCCAACGGGTCCGACCCGGCGTCGAACTGGGCGCGCTTCTCGGGGTCCGTCAACACCTGCACAGCAAACATCATCACCATCATCATCATCGCATAGTATAAAATAATGTCGCTGTCGCTGTCTGTCTGTCTCTATGTATGCTTAAATCTTTAGGACTACTGTAGCTGTAGGAATTTTGCAACATTACTATTTTTTTATATGGGAAAACAATGTTAGCTATAGTATTTTATAATCTACACATATAAATAAAATTGGAGTGTCTGTTTGTAATATTGAAATAAAAGTTTTTTACTTCATGTTTATTAATATAATACATACCCTATGTATACCAAAATAACATTTTTTTTTAATTTTTGTCTGTCTGTCTGTTTGTTACGGCTAATCTCTGAAATGACTGGACCGATTTTGATGGGATTTTTTTGGCAACTAGCTGATGTAATAAAGAATAACTTAGGCTACTTTTATTCTAGAAAAATAATGTTAAATTCCACAAGGACGAAGTCGCGGGAACAGCTAGTACATTGTAAAAATATAAAAATAAGTTGTCTGAAATTCCTACCTCTTTAGCGGCGGCGATGTCAATGAACTTCTTCTCCGCCAGCTTCTTCTCATCGCCCTGGAAGTTGTCGGGGTGCCACTTCTGCGCGGCCTTCCGGTACGCCTTTATTATCTCCTGCTTACTCGCCGTTCTGTATAGCAAACCACATGTCAGGACATAGGTTCAAATTCGTTCGTTACACTCGTAAGCCCTAATATCGGGCTACTCGAACAAATACTCCTATAGACTACTGCTATTGAGTAAAAACAACATATGAATGATTACTAGGGCCTTCGCAGTACACTGCAAATTAAACAAGCATATGGCAAAACTAGGCCTATGCACAACAAAAATCTGCAGATTTTACCAAACTGAAGAGGAAACGCCATTACACATCCTATGTGGTTGTAGCCCACTCATGCATAAACGATATATCTCCTTTGGAAAGTTTACACTCTTTCCCGAGGAGATAAAAACCATCGCTCCTAAGAATATCCTTCAATTCTTGTCCCTGACGGGTCTAGGTAGCGAACTTTGAAAAAGGGCAAGCACAATAGATCTATGTAGGTCGCAGTGCTACAGGTGCTACAGGCACTTGACAATAACCCTAACAACCCAATAAAAAAAATACACTCGTGAACTGATGCTGCTTGTAGAGACTGTACTATGGTCTCCTCTAGTAACTATGACTGATTTATTTTGTTGTAACATCTGTTAAATCATATTTACTGAGCAAAGTCTATTACTCACTAAACGATTACTTGAATGACGAGCGCGCATGGCAATAGTTGTTCATGCACGGGATTTTCATTTAATGTTAGACATAGACACCTATATACATATACATTGTAAATAAACTGGCTTTAAAAAAAACTAATTCAATCGAGTTTCTAGCCAGTTTGTCTTAATTGGATATATACCGAACTGGACGGTAGGGAAAAAAATAATTAAATGTAAAGTGACGTTCATAAGCGGCTAAAATGTCCTACATGAATAAATGATTTTTGAATTTGAATTTGAATTATGTATTCGCACAAAATTCCTAATAATGTAATTTTGACCAACGTGTATTTAACACAATGAAGACCACATTGAAAAATCTTATTCCTCACATAGCGACCGGCATTTGGTTTATTATTTTTACATATGTTTTTAGTGTACAATTTGAGGTAGACATTATTTAACCCCTAGATTTACTTCAATTAAGTGCCCACGGGTAATCATCCTGTCCCAACGTGTAAATTTACTTTCGTTGCGTTAGTGACCCACCGGTGGGCATGCAGTCTTTAACGTGTTAAAAGAGCAACACGCAAGTTTCTTGCTCGTTCTTCTTGTGATAAGTCTGTGTTCCGAATAAGTGGTAGAATAAAATAATATGATTTTTTTATAAAAAAATATTTAAGTTTATTTTAATCAATATTATTTCTGTTGTATTTGCACTGGCAATACTAATTCTATGATATATTATGGCAACAATAACTACACCCCTTTGACATTGGTCTACAGTTCCATCTACTACTCGTTCTGTACAATTAATTAATATTTACATAAATAAATTGTTTAGTTCTATGTTCAGTGTGAAGTAATCGTTCCTGACATTAGAAGGCATCCAAAATATAATAATTTCTATTTCTAAACCGAGTCACTACAGTAGCAATAATGCAGTAAACTATATAGTAAATGTAGGTAGCAAAAATTGTTTTTGTTACCTAAAACTTCCTTAACTGTTTTGGTATAAAGGTTTAATGTGTACATACCTTTTAACTCCTAATATCTTATAGTAGTCCCTCTGTTCAGACTGTTTCTGCATCTTCTGTGCTCTGCTCAGTCCATCCTTGGCTCGCTGCAGACCTTCTTCTAACTCTAGAGCTTCTTTGAACGACTGGATTGCTGTGTAAAAAGAACAAATCAAATTAAATTCTGGGCTACAACGTATAACACGAGTGCTGCTTGTAGAGACTGGTCTGCTCTTATCACTACGACTGATTTAATCTTACTGTATATTTTATAAATTCGTTGGTAGTTTGTATTCACACGTTTCGACTTGTAAATGTAAACTTACAAGAATTATTTAAAAGAGCAACACACAAGTTCTTGCTCGTTCTTCTTGTGAAGAGACAGCTTTCCGAAGGAGCGGTATATAAAAAAAAATTGTCTATTCAAAAGTGCTTAAATTAAGTTTATTTGAATAAATGATTTTCTATTCTATTCTATTCTAACAGATGTTTTGTACTAATATGTAACTTTACAAATAATTAAATTAGAGTGGTTCAGTTTACTCAGTTAAGATTTCACTTGTAACTAGGATATATTCTAATAGAGGGATTTCTGCTAGTCAGTTTTGATGAGCATAAACAATCATATACTTCTGTAGTCCTTCGAGCCGGATTTGAACAACTGATTTGTGATAAAATAAAACATGTTGTATGTCAAAATCGGTTTGCAGATCAGCAGTTTATAGTGCGGGATCGAGGAATAGGGGAGGTTTTATTCTCCTAAGAAAGCGAAGGTTGGAGCCAGTTCCTTTGCACCGTCATCAACTCCAGGGCAAAAATCCCCGGGAACTATGTTAAAAGCCTCTTAAAGTGGATTATTTCAGACTAACTTTGTAATTATAGGAATGGGGGGTGGTATGGGGGTGGGGGTTGTATGGAGGGGTGGTGTGTACTGACCGTCGTCGAACATGTCAAGTCCGAGCAGCGCGTCTCCCCGATCGCACAGAATGCGAGCATCTCTCTGCAGCTGCAGCGCCGACCCGCAAGCTGCCACAGCTTCCGAGTACACCTCCTCCTGCAACAAACATCGATCAATCAATCAAATCTTTATTCTTTGTCTATTACAGACTCATATGATATGTCAAATCTACCATCAGTAATGACTGCTAATAAAAGAACTGATAAGTCACTCAGAACTTATTCTTTTCAAAATGTGCTTGTACATGTTTATAAACAACACCACCACTTCACGTCACCTGTATAACTATATAACTCTGTATAACTGTGCCTTTATATGACACGTTCTTTGACGCACGATCACGAGTGCATGCGCAATCGTAACTGATTGCATTTTAATATTTTCGAGACCACTATTTTGCCCCTGACAGTGGATATGATTAAAAAAATAAATTTAAAAAATGAAATATCACTTTTTTTTTAATTTAATTATTTATTCCACAGATTTTATTGTTAAGACATTTTAAAATTTATAAATTATCAATAACTCTGAATTATGTTTTTGCTTTATATATATATACAGATGTTCACCATTTTTCTTGTAAATACATACATATTATACATAGAAGACACCCAGACCAATGCAAACAATCACATACATGAATATAAATATTTGTACTATGCAAGGAATCGAACTCATAACCATCGGAGTAAGGCGGTGTGCCAAACCGCTAGACCATTGAGGCCGTCAAATTATAAATATGTACAGAGCCTATATATATGTACAAAGACACCCAACAAACCTTGACGGAACAGCTACAAAGCCACTTCCTGGCCTCGAAGACGACCAGCGTGACCTCATCTTCCACCTTGAGCACCTTATTAGCGCTGGCAAGGCAGCCGGTGAAGTCTCGAGCCTCACTCAGCTCCTCGCACTCCAGGAGCAGCTTGTCCACTTTCTTGACTTTCTTGTAGAACGGGAAACATTTCTTGTGCTCTGGGTCTAGTTTTAGACACTCTCGAATTTCCTACAAGCAACATACCATTGGTTAACCATAACACTAAATTGCAGGATAGAAAGAAAGAAAATAAATTTATTTTCAGTTATTAACATATCAAGTATTATAAAAGATCAACCATCCATACTCACAAACGCGAAAGTTTGTGAGTATGGATGGAATGTTTGTTACTCTTTCACGCAAAAAGTAATCAACGGATGTTGATGAAACTTTACAGTAATACAGTTTATACATCAGATTAATATATAGGCCGATAGCATTAGAGTAGTCCGAAAAAAAATCCAGAGGTCAGAAGCGAGCGAATACTCGTGTAGGACTTGTCTATGTTCCTTGTGCCAATTACGCTCGGAGTTAATATTAAATTATTATTATTGTAATATAACATTTGATTAAATCGATTTCCATTACAAAGATTATTTGTCGATTACATTTGTATAATTATTGTGATTATATTGTAGTACTAATAGTACTAAAGGTGTATTAATAATACATTCATCCACTGGATAGTAAACAGGACAATGCGACATATGTACCTTGAGTGCGTCGCTGACGTGTCCGAGCTGGTAGAGCAGCGTGGCGAGCCGGTAGTACCCGTCCGTGGAGTCCTGCTGCAGCCGGTTCACCGACCGGATGTCCGACACGGCAGAGAACAGGTCGTTCTGTTGAATGTACATTACACACATATATCTACAGTTAGTTATTTATTTATATAACTTCAATCCAGCAGCCGCGACGCGTAGTGTGTCGAGTGGGGGGTCGGGGGGTCGGGGGGTCGGGGGGTCGGGGGGTCGAGTACCTACCAGTGCGATGTAGGCCTCCGCCCTCAGCTGCCGCACGTGCGCGGCCCACGGTAGTGTGTGTCGTGTGGGGGTCGGGGGGTCGGGGGGTCGGGGGGTCGAGTACCTACCAGTGCGATGTAGGCCTCCGCCCTCAGCTGCCGCACGTGCGCGGCCCACGGTAGTGTGTGTCGTGTCGGGGGGTCGGGGGGTCGGGGGGTCGAGTACCTACCAGTGCGATGTAGGCCTCCGCCCTCAGCTGCCGCACGTGCGCGGCCCACGGTAGTGTGTGTCGAGGGGGGGTCGGGGGGTCGGGGGGTCGGGGGGTCGGGGGGTCGGGGGGTCGAGTACCTACCAGTGCGATGTAGGCCTCCGCCCTCAGCTGCCGCACGTGCGCGGCCCACGGTAGTGTGTGTCGTGTGGGGGGTCGGGGGTCGGGGGTCGGGGGTCGAGTACCTACCAGTGCGATGTAGGCCTCCGCCCTCAGCTGCCGCACGTGCGCGGCCCACGGTAGAGACTGACGAGTGGGGCGTCGCGGGGTCGGGGGGGCACGGGTACAGAGTACCTACCAGTGCGATGTAGGCCTCCGCCCTCAGCTGCCGCACGTGCGCGGCCCACGGTAGTGTGTGTCGTGTGGGGGGTCGGGGGGTCGGGGGGTCGGGGGGTCGAGTACCTACCAGTGCGATGTAGGCCTCCGCCCTCAGCTGGCGCACGTGCGCGGCCCACGGGGACACCTCCAGCAGCCGCGACGCCAGCTCGGCGGCCGCGCGGTGGTCGGCCCCGCGGAAGTACGCCTCCGCTAACCGGAGATCGTCTATGTACTCGTCGATCTTGTGGTACTGCGCCACAGCCTCCTCGTTGTACGGGTCTTCCTGGCTCTGTAATTCAAATTCAAATTCAAATTCAAAATATCTTTACTCATGTAGGTTTATTACAGACTCTTATGATATGTCAAATCTACCGTCAGTTATGATTTCGAGATGAGAAGAACAGACGAGAAACTCAGCTCGTATTTTTTTAAATAAATGTTATAGATATTTACAATAATACGGATTCATTTAAATTCAAATTTGGGAGAATAGAGTGACCACCAGCATATGCTATTGCAAAAAACAAATAATCTAATCAGTGTTTGCAACCTGAACAGACCAGTCCACACAAGCAGCACCCGTTCACGAGTATCACGGATGAGCCAGCCATCATTGCACTCAACCATATTAGAGGGAGCACATCGACCCGTAATACCGTATAGAGAAATATTCTTAATTCAATTACTATACTATTTTTATACTCAATTGTTTTTAATTCTGTTCTGAACAACTGTCAACAGATCCAACAGGTGTTATTTTTTCAATTCAAATCTACATATATAAATAAAATTGTAGTGTCTGTTTGTAATATTGAAATAACCGTTTTTTACTACATGCATACGAATATCAATACGGTACATACACCAAAATGACATTTTTTACAATTTCTGTTTGTCTGTCTGTTTGTTCCGGCTGATCTCTGAAATGGCTGGACCGATTTTAACGGGACCTTTTTTGGCAGTTAGCTGATGTAATAAGGAGTAACTTAGACTACTTTTATTTTACAAAAATAAAGTTAAATTCCATGCGGACGAAGTCGTGGTGCTGCTAGTTTGTTTATAAAAAATCAACAGCCTAAAAAATAAGTTTCAAACTTTCATCTTTAAAAATGACGATACCTCCATAGAACCTTTCGTCCCCCCTTTCAACCTCTAACAACCCTTTATTCGCATTAAAAAGTAACCTAAATCCTTTCTCAGGGTCTAGACTACACAGGGCACCAAATTTCATTTAAATCGGCTCTTGTTTCGCATTAAAAATAGCCCAAGTCCTTTCTCAGGGTCTAGAACCAGGGAATCGGCTCTTATTTCTCATTAAAAATAGCCCAAGTCCTTTCTCAGGGTCTAGAACCAAGGTATCGGCTCTTGTTTCGCATTAAAAATAGCCCAAATCCTTTCTCAGGGTCTAGAACCAGGGTAGGCGAACCAATGGCACGCGACACAATATTTTGTGCACGTCGTCGATCATAAAACTGCTCGAAGAAGCTGGCTCATGCTATTTTAACAATATTTTCACCTACCTATGCCTGCGAGTCATTATTTTCAGAGATGAATAACATTAAAAACTCGGTTAGAAAACGTTTGACAGATGAATTCAGTTCAGCATGCATTTTGCTAAAAGTAACATCGTACAAGCCTGACATAAATTATTTGTCATCTAACCTGCAGCAACAGAAGTCACACTAATTTTACAGTAATTTAATTTATGCGTGTAATGAAAACAATCCAAAATGTACATCTTTTGTTTACTTTATTTCATAGAGAGTTTTGATGGTATTTATTATTATTATTTTCCAAATAATCAGAAAGTCAAAATTATTTGATGGCACGTCAATGAACGCATTAAACATTTTTTGGAAAAAATGGCACGTTGATGCATAAAAGTTCTCCTACCCTGGTCTAGACTATCTGTGTACCAAATTTCATTTAAATCGGTTCAGTAGTTGTGCTGTAAAAGCGTGTCAGACACACAGAGTTATTTTCGCATTTATAATAGTATAAGAATGGCGAGTGAGCGCTTTGATTTGATTTATGTTTAATTTTCTGACAAATTACCGTAACTGTATTTTATAGTGTTATCAGATTTGTGAAGTGAATAAAAAAATTATAATATTAAAGTATGAAACTATAAATTTACGATATTTACTCAGTGTATAATACAATAGATAGTGATCACACAATCAGCCGTTTATAACAGCTGATAATCTATCTACATTGTAATATGTATGACGAATCTTACATACAAATAACTAACTATTGTAAATTATATATCTATAGAAATGGCGCGTTGTTTGGATAAGCTTTATTGTATACAATTATACACATAACTAGCTGTTCATGCGACTTCGTCCGCGTGGAATTTAACTTTATTTTTCTAAAATAAAAGTTACCTAAGTTACTTCTTATTATATCGGCTACCTGCCAATAAAAGTCCCGTCAAAATCCGTCCAGGCATTTCAGAAATTAAACGGAACAAACAGACAGACAGACAAAAATTATAAAAAATGTTATTTTGGTGTATGTACCGTATTTATATTCATATGTATGTAATAAAAAACGACTATTTCAATATTAAAAACAGACACTCCAATTTTATGTATATGTATAGATGTACAGATTTCAACATACATACATAGGTATCTCATAACATTCCTTCACTCAATGTTAACTACTTTCTGATAGAGATATTGAGTGGATTACATATATAGCAGTAAATATAATTTACTTTCGTTCCGATCGCAGTTGCACGTTACATACAAACTGTTACTTAGCAACAACACTTATTTTAAATGTGATGGATTATATTTTTTCTACTTAAAACAATGTGCCTAATATTTTCAACCATATAATATGATTAGTCACGTGTTAGCTTTTGATAAGACCATAGAAATATATTAACTGGTAACTTTTTTTTTTATAACACAGGGGACAAACGAGCATGCGGCTCACCTGATGGTAAGTGATTACCGCCGCCCATGAGCACCCGCAACACCAGGGGAATTGCAAGTACGTTGTCGGCCTTTTAAAAAGGAATAAGCTCTAAGTAACTAATAAGTTTTTACGCAAGCAATATAGAATGTATAATCTATGCTCAAACGTCGAATTAAAAGAGTTTAGCCTTCAACACGTTTGCATAATCTCTGGCTAAATACCGCACACAATCTATACATATAAACAAAATTGGAGTGTCTGTCTGTAATATTGAAATACCCGTTTTTTACTAACATAAACAATGAGACAGCTTTCCAAACGAGCGGTAGATAAAAAAAATTGTTATGACTATTCAAAAGTGCTTAATTTAAGTTTATTTGAATAAATGATTTTCTATTCTATTATAATAAAACTTTATTACTTTGGTAGATAACTGTATATAGGAATAAAAATATACATATATTTATTCTTTCTGTATTCATTATGCTATAGGTACTGAGTGAAATTCAATTATCTATACATATAAATGAAATTGGAGTGTCTGTTTGTAATATTAAAATAACCGTTTTTTACTACATGCATGTGAATATAAATACGGTACATACAACAAAATAACATTTTTTACAATTTTAGTCTGCCTGTGTGTCTGTCTGTTTGTTCCGGCTAATCTCTAAAATGGCTGGACCGATTTTGACGGGACTTTTTTGGCAGGTAGCTGATGTAATAAGGAGTAATTTAGGCTACTTTTATTTTAGAAAAATAAAGTTATATTCCACGCGGTCGAAGTCGCGGGAACAGCTAGTACAAACTAAAGTAACTGTTTAGTTCACATTAATGTAATAACAAAAAAACATTTCTTAAGGAATTCATATTATTTTGCAATTTATTTTGCTTGTGGGGACTGGTCTGTTCGGGTTACAAACACTGATTAGACTATTTGCTTTTGCAACAGCATATGCTGGTGGTCACCCTATTCTCCCAAATTTGAATTTAAATGAATCTGTATTATTGTAAACATATACAACATTTATTTGAAAAGAATACGAGCCGAGTTTCTGGTCAGTTCTCATCTCGAAATCATTTAGAACTGACGGTAGATTTGACATACCATAAGATAATAGACCTATATGAATAAAGATATTTTCAATTTTGTTACATTCCGCTAAAATTAGCATGTGTGAGACTACAAATACTCAGTGGGGAAACTGACAACCTGACTTCCAATGGTCGCGGGTTCGATTCCTCGGAAAATGCAATAATAATAATAATAATCTCAGGACAATTCACACAGCGCCATCTAGACCCAATGTTATGGGTCCTAGACAACTGATACAAATACATAGATAATTTTATTTTTTCCTAAATACATACATATTATACATAGAAAATACCCAGACCGATACAAACAATCATACTCATGAATACAAATGTTTGTGCCGTGCGAGGAATCGAACCCGCGACCATCGGACGTAAAGCGGTATACTAGACCGCTAGACCACCGAGGTCGTCATGCAAGCATTTGTATTTATAAGTATGACTGTTTGTATTAGTCTGAGTGTCTTAATATAATCTTGGATAATTCCTAGAGCGCCACCTAGTCACAAGCTAAGTGGAACTAGACAACTGATATAAATATTTAAATACATACATACATAATACACATAGAAAACATGCAGACCGATACAAACAATCACAAATATATAAAATACAAATATTTGCACCGTGTGGAGAATCGAAGCCGCAGCTATCAGGAAAGTGAAGTTAAACTGCTAGACCACCGAGTCTCTCAAAAAAATAAAACTGTCTTATATTATACTTAAGGATGAGTGAACATACATGTTGTCCCAATTTTTTTTATTTTATACTGCTATAGCAGCAAACAAGCATAGGGCTCATCTGATGCTAAATTGTTACCATAGTCTATGGACGCCTGAAACACCAGGGGTGTCACATGCGTCGACCTTTAAAAAACCTTAATATACCCTTCTTGAAAAACCCCATGCTGCAGTCGAGAAAACCTCGGCAGATAGTTCATTCCACAATCTAAGTGTACGCGGGAGGACTTTCTTTTTTTTTTTTTCGGACTACTCTAAGGCAGTTGGCCGCAGCTGGCCTTTACAGCTTCACCGGACGATAGGGGGCGAGTGCAGATAGCACTTCAAACCAAGGAAGGACTTATAGAGCGGCTGAAGGCCAACTCCTGAGGGCACCACTAGGGGGTTCGAACCTCGGCTCAGGCCGTCGTAATTTCGATCCCCGTTTGAATTGGACGAGGGATCGATCGGAGGGGAGAAGGAAGCTCCTCTGAAACCGCACTGTCCGAGACCACTTAGGTCCCAGCGTGTGGGGATGAATTTCAAGTCCCCTCGACGTGTATGTTTCAGAAACATATTGGAACATGTTGTAACATGTTTACATGTAGTTTATGTAATATTGTACTCACAACTTGTAAATAATCCTCCTTGGCTTCTCTGTACTGGGCCAGTTTGAGGTAGACATTGGCTCTCTGCAGCCTCGCTGATGTAAAGTCAGCTTTTAGCTCCAACACCTATAAAACAACAATAATCATTGTCTATACATATAAATAAAATTGGAGTGTCTGTTTGTAATATTGAAATAACCGTTTCTTACTACATGCATATGAATATATATACAGTGTATACCAAAACATTTTTTTTTATATATTTTGTCTGTCTGTCTGTCGGTCTGTTTGTTCCGGCTAATCTCTAAAATGGCTTGAACGATTTTATCTATACATATAAATAAAATTGGAGTGTCTGTTTGTAATATTGAAATAACCGTTTTTTACTACATGCATGTGAAATATACAGTACATACCAAAATATATTTTTTTATATTTTTTGTCTGTCTGTCTGTTTGTTCCGGCTAATCTCTGAAATGGCTGGACCGATTTTAATGGGACTTTTTTGGCAGGTAGCTGATGTAATAAAGAGGAACTTAGGCTACTTTTATTTTAGAAAAATAAACTTAAATTCCACGCGGACGAAGTCGCGGAAACAGCTACTTTAATCATATAAATTAATATCACTATTAAAAAATAGGGGTTGATAATAGAATGGCGAAAATTATTGAAAATTACTACATCTCTGGATATGTATGTTCGAACAAAAACAAAACTTTTCTGCTTTGTTTAATAATAATAATAACATTTATTTATTCCATTCCATTATAAGTGTTCACAAAATTGTTTTAATAATAAACATCCTGTAAATATAACAGTATAAGAGAATGGAATGGAATTTGTGCTAGGAAAACCTGTTACAGAATTCCGCCCTAGCACTCAGCTCATGAGTAATCAGACAGTACATCTTTTGAGTACAATATCTAAATATATATAACTCAAAGGTGACTGACATAGTGATCTATCAACGCACAGCCCAAACCACTGATTTAGCATGCAGGTAGATGTTATGACGTAGGCATCCGCTAAGAAAGCATTTTGATTAATTCTACCCCCAAGTGGATAAAATAGGGGACGAAACTTTGTACGAAATTTTGTCAATATTAAACCGATCGGGCTGAGACTTTGCATGCATAAAGCTACTATGACGTAGGCATCTCTTAAGAACGGATTTTGATAAATTCCACCTCTAAGGGGATAAATTAACGCGAGTGAAGCCGCGGGCAAAAGCTAGTATACCATATAAAGATTTCTGAAATTAAACTAATGAAGGCATTACCTGTACAATAGGTACATACCTTTGTGAAGTCCTGTAGGGCAAACTTGGCTTTACCAAGTGCATAGTACACTGTACCCCGCTTGAAGTATGTGAGGTAATTGTGTGGGTCCCCCTCTGTTGACAAATAACACAATATAGGTACTAAATATACAGCCTCAGTGGTCTAGCAGTTCACAGATTGCCTTGTTTCCGAAGTTCGCAGGTTCGATTCCTGGCACAAACATTGTATTCATGAGTATGATTGTTTGTATTGGTCTGGGTGTTTTCTATGTAAATAAATATACATAGAAAATTTATAAATATTATAATATATTATATTTATTTATAAATACATTCTTAAAAAAAATATTTAAGAATGTATTGTATGTATAGCCGGAAAGGTGATAGCTGATAGAAAAAAAAATGTATGTATTTGTATCAGTAGTCCAGTCTAGAGATGAAACGGATAGCAGTTTGACTTGGTGTTTTGGATATCGGACAAATTTTTTTTTGTACTCTTTCTATTCTGTTTATGTGTACTTTGTAGGTAGGAGACCAAACCATGCTCATTTAAATTAAACCATGCATTATAAAACCATGTGACCGATAGAAAAAAAAAATATTTGTATCAGTAGTCACATATCTAACTAATAAATTCATTTTCATTCTATAACAGTCATTTACTATTGACTGATTAAAAATTTTAAACTAAAACTAATTTTATTCCTTAAGTAATACTAAGACTAACTAAATAAAGCAAATAATTACTTCAATTTTTTTTTTTTATCATCAGTTTTTATTTTTATTTGCCCGGATAGTATTAAGGCCGCTGGATAGGCCGGATACTGGATAGTTATAGGATATCTGTTTCATCTCCAGTCTAGTCCATAATACAAGCTCTGCTTTAGAACTGTGCTGTGTGAATAGTGTAACCAAATTCTAATTATAATCTATGTATGGACATTTAAAAAAAAAGGAATAATTTAAGTCATAATTATACTTTAGACATTTACAATTTTTTTTATTAAAAAGTTTGATTATTATATATAGTTAATTTTGGGTGTAACAACAAATAATGTCAGAGCAGAAGTAATAGGTTAAATGATCCCAATGGTATCGGTCAGTTGCTTGGAAAACTTTCAATCATTGCACGTAGATATAGAATTGAAAACAAATATCATACGGTGATCATATTTGAAGCTATATCAGAAAGTTCCTTGTCAATTATAAATTGTAACTATTTTTTTTAATTATAAATTATCTATGTAAGAGTAAAATCTTATCCTTCTATAGAATAAGGTCTAAAACAAACAGCTAATACAAGGACAATTCAAGTTTTTCAGGATTCGTGCAGCTTCTGCATTGATCTATTTACCTTGACACCCTGAGAGACATTTTACGGTCTATTTCCGACGGATTACAAATGTTTATACGCACCGACAGCCGCATGATAATGCGTCAAAGCGTCTGATAGTTGACCCCGTGCTAAGAAATCTCGACCAAGCTCCAGGTGCTTGTTAACTTCCGCAGGAGTCGCGCAGTCTGAAACTGTACCACCACAAATATTAATATTATTAATGTATACAAAAATTAATAGAACAAAACAGTATAAAACTGATAAGAAAATAAACTCACATTCTAATACTATTTCTAGCACTAATAAGACAAGGCATGGTGTGATTTTGTTCCAGTTGATATTCACTAGGTAGTCCATTATTAATTAATAATTATATTACAGCAGTCTATTACACATTAAAGATATTCAATTCCAATATAAACTAATTATTTGACATAGCCACAGTACATTTTTCGTTCGTCTCTTTTCGTGGTCTGTTTTGATTGGTCCAAATCAGGCAAAATGTGTAATGAGTACAGATAATTAAAACATCATGACAGTTCCAAAAGCCGAAGATGTCAGACAATAATATAAAATCCAGTTCTCACTGCAACTTTGCACAGTACAGTCTCAGATTTTATTACCATATTGCAGTGTTTAACAAAGTTAAAGAAAACTTTACATTGCACACAGATAACATAATATTAATTGAAGTGTTAATTAGTCAATTATAAGCAGATTAATTAGTTAAGTTAATTAATTTCAAATGCCAAATTGCTTCAAATGCACCAATCGTTTATTACAGAAAAAAAATAATACTGTATAGAATCAATGATGATAAATTGGCATTTACTTTTTATACTTTAGAGGAACAAATGTGAAGGGAGATTTATGAAGGTTTTAATAGCATTCTTCAAAGGAAAGAGGAATTTTTGATTCTACATTAAATATTAATACAGCAAAATTTGATAATATTGTTTTGTATTTAAATAATTGATATATTAGGTTTTATGGTTACAAATATATAATATATGTACCATATTTTTCTTAAACTAAACGTAACTAATAACCACAGCTAAAAACTATTCACATTGTGTCATTCAGTTGTCAATGTCAAATGAAAATATATTAAGTTTTGGCAACACTGGACCAATTCTTTCATTTCCAAAAACTAAACAACGTTCGGTTAGTTTTATCAATTTTACTAAATTTTAATTAAAAATCTTATAAATATTTCTGTTTTCGTTAAGACCTAATGTATTCAAATACATTAGTTCATAACATATCGTAGGATTAACAATTGCCGTATAGATATATTCAGATTACTTTGAGGTTGGATGTCAACATAACCTCTCAGCCGTGTTCTAATTGATGCTGTTATTTTAGGAATGGCTGACGCGCCATCAACAGCACCTAAGGCGAAAGCGCCTAAGACAAAGGCTCCTAAGGAAAAGGCGGCGAAGGCTGCACCGGCAGCACCTGCCGAGCCCCCGAAGGTGGTACGCAAAGTATCATCCAAACCTCGTCACGGCAGACTGTACGCGAAGGCTGTGTTCACAGGTTACAAGCGAGGTCTACGTAACCAACACGAAAACACTGCTCTTCTCAAGGTTCGTTTAAAATATACACAACTTATTTACATATTTTATGGAAGAATATTTTAGAACTTACCCGTTTCCTATAGTTTCATTGTAGTTGTAGATATTTAAAATATAGTAACCCTATATGTGCCTTACCTGCCTAACCTTAAAAATAATATACATTATGCCATATTAATATAAAAAAGTTACTTTTGTATGATTCTATTTTCATGACAAACACTTATGCAGAGAGATTCACTGCCATGAAATTGTCTTTATAATCCCATACAAACAACTTACTGCCTTTATTTTCATAACTTGTCTGATGTTAATATCGAAAAAGAACATTTTTTATAAAGGAGTAAGCTTGAACGGATTTATTTTTAAAATACAGATAATAATTTTTAACTATAATAATAATAAACTCAGGACAATTCACACAGTGCCATCTAGACCCAAGTTAAGCTAGCTAAAGCTTGTGTTATGGGTACTAGATAACTGATACAAATACATAGATATTTTTTTTCATAAATACATATTATACATAGAAAGCACCCAGACAGTCATACTCATGAATACAAATGTTTGTGCCGTGCTAGGAATTGAACCCGCAACCATCATACGTAAAGCGGTATGCTAGACCGCTGGACCATCGAGGTTGTCATTATGATTAGTTACTAAGATATTGTAATTTAAGATAATTAGTATATTATAGTTTGTTGTAATTCTGAACTATATAGTTATTGTTTTTCAAAGTTAAATCTAATAAACTTAACTTAAACAATTGTTTAAATTATGTTTTTGTTTATCTTATAGAATTAATTGTATTTAGGAATATTCTTGATACACTACTTGTAGCTATTTATGGTTTGATGCAAGATGAGTATTTCTCTTGTCTTTAATTGTGAACACAATTTTACAGAAATAGAAATCCCATCAAAAACATAAATGTGAAATGATATAAGTTTAATATTATGATATATGGCTTGATTGTTGACTTCTACGACAAAAGAGATGAGATCTAAATGGGTGCCAAGTTCAATGGTCTGTCCTGAAATGTATTTATAACAATATAAAATATCATTTCTTCTTATAACTTAGGATAATATACTGTAGCCTAAGGTTTAACTTGGCCAGTTCTCATATACCAATTATTACTTTCGATTGCTAGTTACTACTAATAATAAAATAGGAACCGACAAGTAACATGTTTAGAACTTGCGAAGGCTACAGTATATTTCATATATGAAAACTAGCCAAGTTAGACCTTAGGCTACAGTATATTATCCTAAGTTATAAGAAGAAATGATATTTTATATTGTTATAAATACATTTCAGGACAGACCATTGAACTTGGCACCCATTTAGATCTCATCTCTTTTGTCGTAGAAGTCAACAATCAAGCCATATATCATAATATTAAACTCAGCTATCATTTCACATTTATGTTTTTGATGGGATATCATTACTTTTTGTACATAAATTATACGAGGTACTTATTTATAACTAAATTAATACCAAATTATTTTTGATAAATTACTGTATTTTCGTATATTTACGGGGTATAATTGTCTTTTTTTGTGTTATTTTCTATATTTTCTTGTAACTTTTAAAAGTTCAAGTGCAATGCCAATTCAGTATCAGGAATTTTTGGGCAAATCGGGGCGGTATAACGTCCACAGATGGTTGTACTCTACAATAGAGCTCTCGTGACTTGGATCTAAATTGTTAAGACGTACTCCATCTAAGGTTTTAACTCTGAAGAGTCCAACGTAAACCTGCCCTTTATTAAATATAGAGGAGGCTATGTTGAGAAGAGGACTGCCAAAACTAAGGCCTTGTGATTTGTGGATAGTAATAGCATATGTTAAGCAAATACGGAATTGTTCTCTATCAACATATACATTATTTAATGTCTGAAACTTCGTATTGACACGTTATAGTTCGTAAAGACGATTATGTAACAAATTGACTGTTATCTATTGAATTCTCAAGAAAACAATTTGTTACCAATAAGTTCTCATTCTCGAGTTAACTGTACATTCCTACTTATAACTATACTAAAATTGTTATTAATTTTTGGTTTAAACTATTGTCTATACCATACGTATTTACTAAAATAATGTAATAATAATATAATCACAAATATACATATAAGTATAATTTAAGAAAGCTATAAATTTCGTAGCATAAATCGCAACCTTATAGGTTAGATATCCAGAAACAAAACATTGAGTTTTATCGCACCGCTCCCACACGGCGCCACCGCGGCGCCCTATACCGAAATGCCTATTATTTAATAATTATTTATAAAAATAATGATTTTACACTATCGATGTGCGCTAAATATTGAAACAATAATTAATACCAAATCTCAGTTAATAACATAATAAATACGAAATTCGACTATACTCCTAGTTATAAGTACGAGTATATTTTAGACAGAATCTAAATTATAGCAACTAGTGTTTACCGCTCAATGCAATATTTGAAGTTTGCTAGTTATCGACACTGATGTGAAGGGGTCAACGTAAATTGGTATTGATCGACGTTTTCATACAATATTAGTTTCCGTCCAGTACAAGATGAGATATTTCACCAGGGATCAATGTCAATTGGTGGCTATCGACGTTTTCATAGAATTTTAGTATTCGTCCAGTATAAGTTGAAATAGAATCAATTAAAGTGAAAAATTGTAGTAAAATGATAACAATTTACCAGTTTCAGATTTTTTCCTTTATATTCACCTAATTACCTATCTGCATACCAAATTTGAACTTCCTAGGTCATCTGGAAGTGGGTTATAATTTTGATCTATAGTTGATCAGTGATAAAAATGACGATTTTTGGACATTAATATCTAAATAACCGTTTGAGATATGTTTATGAAATTTGGAACACATATTTATCTCGCAAGTCTCAATATATGAACCAAATTTGACAGGTTTGTGTGAAAGAGTTTTTGAGTTATAAGGGGGTCAAAAGTGGCTCCAAATGGTTCGTGTAAATATACACACGGTGCTGCAAGCCAGTTTACTTGAAACTCGGCTTGACACGCTGCCGCGTGTCTATAGAAATAGAAATAATCTTTATCCAAATAAACTTAATAAAATATTTTACACTTTGATTTTTTTTTTTCTGTCAAATTGAGTACAGACTGGGAGTTTGTTGTGCAATTTCCATAAAACGAGTTACTGACTTTCGTCAAACGGCACTTAGGTAAAACTAGTTTGTTGACATTACGTGTAATCACCTACTTTTTTAACACAGATGCTAAAAATAATAATAATAATAATCTCAGGACAATTCACACAGTGCCATCTAGACCCAAGTTAAGCTAGCTAAAGCAAGTGTTATGGGTACTAGATAACTGATACAAATACATAGTTAATTTTTATTTCGTAAATACATATTATACTTAGAAAACACCCAGAATGACACAAACAATTATAAATATGATTACAAATGTTTGTGCCGTGCAGAGGAATCGAGTAAGGTGCTGCTATAAATATGTTCATTATATTTTAAAATGATGCCTAGACATTTGAAACCTGAATTTCATGTGGACAATTATTTATACTGATCAACTAACCTCGGTAATTTCAAAATATGTCTCATAATCATGATACTAATATATAGATGTAACTTTATTTCCAGGTTGAAGGTGCACGAGACCGCACCGATGCGATATTCTACGCTGGCAAGCAATGCGTATTTGTATACAGAGCTAAGAAGAGGACACCCATCGCTGGTGGCCCCAAGGGTAAGAAGACTAAGCTACGCGCAATCTGGGGCAAGGTGACGCGCCCACATGGAAACTCCGGCAGTGTCCGTGCTCGCTTCAAGTCCAACTTGCCTGCACACGCCATGGGGCACAGGATACGAGTGGTAACTATCTAGACTGAATAAATTTTATTGCATTATATGTACAACTTAAAAACCATAGCCAGAGCTCCTTGGTTTATAAAAAACATTGAAGTACATACATATCTAGAAATTCCAACTGTAAAAGAAGAGATACAGAAAGCCTGTGGATGATATAAACACAGATTAGCCAGTCATAAGAACCAGTTAGCTTCAAAACTACTGGATATAAATAACTGTCCATCTAGATTAAAAAGGGCTCGCCTTGCCAACATCTAAAGAAAGTAAATGAGATGGCACCTTACTGGAGGTGCCTCATCTCAAAAAGCCAATAACTTCAAAAAATCTCATTATAGCCGGAAGGGCTGATAGCAGAAAAAAAATATACAACTTTATACTTCACTTTATAAATTTATCATATTTTGTTTAATTCTACTACCATTAGAAATATTCAATGCTTCTGCACTGAATGTTTAATAATAATAATCTCAGGACAATTCACACAGCGCCATCTAGACCCAAGTTAAGCTAGATAAAGCTTGTGTTATGGGTACTAGATTACTGATACAAATACATAATATTTTCGTAAATACATACATATACATAGGAAACACCCAGACTGACATAAACAATAATACTTATGAATACAAATAAATACTTTTAAGCAATGTTTCATTTGCTTGAAAATTGTAGTATATGTGTTATTCAAATTTCTAAGCTATATTACTGAAAAGTTTAATCAAAATCTGTTCAGTAGTTTTGTGTGAAAGAGTAACAAATATCCATCCATAGGTACAAACTTTCGTGTTTATGATATTAATAAGACTAGCTGTGACCACGGTTTCGGCCACAAAAAAAATTACAGCCTATGTGTTATTTAGATGTATGAGGTATATTTCTGTAAAGTTTCATCAAAATCTGTTCTGTACCTTTTGCAAAAAACAGAAGCAAATATTCATTCATTCATCTGTCCATTTATTCATACTCACAAAGTTTTGCATTTATAATATTTATTTATTTATACCTTTTATACTGATAGTTAAGTTAATGTTGTTTATGTTCATTGTTATTTCACAGCCTCGGTTATTTGGCTTGTCCTAAGAGTCCTCCTCAAATAGACTTCATGTTCCTCTGTCTAATGCTTTCCTTCTCCATGTTGGTTCTACCACTGCCCTTTTTTTCGTATAGTTACCTACTATGCAAAGAATGGAACCCTTTTTATTCACGAATATGATAGTTTGTATTGGTCGTGGTTTTTCTATATATTTGTTAAGTATGTATTTAAAAAAAGAAAAATTAAGTATTTATATCAGTCGTCTAGTATCCATAACACAAGCTCTGCTTATCTTGGGACTATCATCCTCCAACATCTTTTTCTGTCGCCCTCGTCCATCCTTGGTCCATTTTCCTTTCTTCTTATTGCATGTCCTGTCCACTTCCATTTCAGTTTCTTGGTTGTTCTGACTGCATCTAGTTTTTTCTCTAATATTAGTAGTTTTAAAATGATGCTTATGACATTTGAAACCTGAATTAAATGTGGTCAATATGTTACTGATAAATTATTTCATTAATTAGGATTGCTCCTATTGTGTATAGACATAAATTATAAACTGATTTATCTTCTCTTTCAGATGCTGTATCCATCCAGGATCTAAGAACCTGACCAGTAATATAAGTCTAAATAAAAACCCAAAAAAATTCAACATTGTTTCTTTTTTCTTTATTTTTTTTTACTATCTACACCAAAAATTGTGTCAGGGATGGGTAAAAAAATACTGACACGGATCTTCTGTAACCTTACAGGGAATGAAGGTTGGGCTCGCGAGCCCTTTTGCTCCGGCATCATCTTCAGGTTGAAAGTCTCTTGGGATGGGTTCCTGAAATATGTAATATAATCTTATTTGTGCTAAAACTATCAGTATAAAATTCATATAAGCAAGTATTTTATACATAAAAATGCCTACAGGAAAAACTGCTCTGTAGAGGTCGCTTTTAGATATGTCCATTTTTGTTTATATTGTTTCTAATCAACAATTACAAACTATTATGTTATAAAAACAGACGAAAAAATCATCGCCGTTATTAATATATTTAAACAGGTCTTAAAACGAATAATCTTATGGTAAATAAAGATAGCTTAGTGAAGGTACCTCTTGACGTTTCAACTGGGTTGCGAGGTCACGAGCTGGCACCTTATGGTATATAACTAAAAACTTACCTTTCGGCGTTTAGGCTAGGTTGCACTAGCTGTGATCACGATTGACATCTTATTTACCATATAATTTTTCGTGTTGAAATACGTTCTCACACGTTCTCATTAATGTAAAAAAAAATAGAAATTACACATGTACAGCGCAAAATCCGTAATTTTTTTTTTTATATATGAATAAAAAAAATACAAATCACATCTGCCCTATGTCTATATCTGTAATATGTATTTTTTATAGAATTGTAATGACAAACTAATGGTAAACAGTAACATTTGCAATCGTGAAACGACTTCGTCCGCGTGGAATTAAGTTTTATTTTAAATCTAATATGAGTAGGCTAAGTTACTCCTTATAACATTAGTTATGTACAAGTGTAAGGCATGACAGAATCGGTCCAGGTGTTTCAGAGATCAACAAGAAAAAACAATGTATTTAAATACATTTTAATGGATCTTTAATTGGGAATTACTAAGAGACGCTTCAATTGTATTTATTTATATAGATATTTAATTGATAACGTAGAATTTTTTTATTAATGATAATGGAATGTTGCACCCGCCTGCGCTAACAGTTTACGCTAGCGGGGCACCAGTGGAAGATGATGAGTACGAGGTCAGGTCAGTTGCCATCATGACAAATTCACCAGGAATTTGTCATGATGGTTTCCTGGGGATACCACGTGGAGTTCAACCTGACATGGTACATTGTTAGCAATGGAGTCTTCAGGCCATAGTACTAACAATGCCCTTTCCCTCCCGATAATGTAGTTTTGTGGATTGAACTGCAACTTGATATGTCCAGTAAACCGCTGGTAATGATACCTACTGCGGATAGTACAATTGTAATAAGTGGCTTTACACGTGAATTGAAAATAATATCCTGGTAGATATGTTTTTTCATACTAGAGTAGTAGTAGGCCAGAAGTCTTAACCACTGTTATAAATATCAATTTCAAACTTCCTTGCCATTCCTGTAAAAAAATAGTTTATGCCAGAACCTTCATTTGCACAAATAATAAATAAATAAACGAACTTTACTGTGATATTCGATTATTATTATATTATGAAGTGCTTCGTTCGAAGATATAATAACCATGTAGTTTCTTCAAGTCAACGAACGTAATTTTAGAGCTAGATTCCAAAGCCTAAAATAAAAAACATTTCTGTCTTCGCTTCTCATACTGTAACTGTACAGATTACAGACTGTCATTTGTCATTCTTTTAGAGACTTAAAGGGACAAAAAGCTGTATATTATTACTGTATTTGCTGTGGGTGAGTTTCACGCCAGTTCTCGATTCAATTTGGATACCGAACTGGACTGTAAGAATATAAAAAAATAATAAATTCATAAGTGAACAGATCCTGATGACCAATTTCCTCTTGTATGAAAACTGAACTGGTTGAAACATTACAAAACCTTAGTTTGACACAGCGACATCTAGTGAGCATCATACAAAGTACACATATCCGTCAAATTGACAACACTGCCAACCCACAGAAAGTATTTACGGGAATTCCGAAGGTATCACTTTCGAATTTCTCTCAACTGAGTTGCCATGATAAAATGTTGCAACCTGTCATATTTATTTTGAAAGTGGAAGAAATTTTAAAAAGTTCAGTATGATCGAGATTTTCTGGTAAGGATTCGAGGGCCCCCTCAGCTTGAGGGCCCCGGGGCACTGCCCCGCCTAGCCCTGCTATCTATATGTTACTGTACATTTTTTTTTTATTTTATCGAATTAAATATTATTTTACGAAAGTCCATTTCATTACTTCGTCATCATTTAAATTAAATATTAATTAATATTTAATTTTGTATAAGTTTATGCTTTTAGTTCTCATGTTCACTTAACATGAGAATTATTTGTAATTCTTAATGAGAATAAATATCTAATAAAATAATATCTAAAACCTAATTTATGTATTTTGTTTATATACTCTTTATTGCATCAGATATATACACCGGCACCCCGGGCACCCCTTCGATCGATCCCCCGTCCAATTCAAACGGGGAGCGGAATTAGCCGAGGTTCGAACCCCTAGTGGTGCCCTCAGACTAAAGTCGTATCCGTCAGGCAGGAGTTGGCCTTCAGCCGCTCCATAAGTCCTTCCTTGGTTTGGAGTGCCATCTGCACTCGCCCCCTATCGTCCGGTGAAGCTGTAAAGGCCAACTGCGGCCAACAGCATTAGAGTAGTCCGAAAAAACTCTTGATGGTGGTTGTGGTTTTCATGATGGTATATGATATCTTCGTTGTCTTCCTTGATAACAATTGCAATTTGCCTCCATCTGGTACAGTTTTTGACTACTTACGATTGGATACGTTTGGGTACGGGCCAACAGCATTACAGTAGTCCGAAAAAAAAACCAGATAAATTACTTGAACAATTAACAAAGTAATAGGGTACAATAAGTGGTCTTATTGCTTACGCAATCTCTTCCAGATAACGTTTGCTTAAAGGAGAAATAACATCATCACCAAAATACAGAGGTGGTATCACCATGGTCATTGGCCCACTGCAGTCTACTACCAGACATATGAGCATGAGCAGCAGCGGATTGTTATGGGTGTTTTGCTGCTGACGTGATGAGATGGTGATATTTTAAATAAAATCCAAAATGTGTTCACAGCACTGTATTGTCTCCGATGTAGCGGCGAGAAGAAGGGAAGAATGTTGCCATATTACATAAAATATAAATTTTATTTTAGTGTTGCAATATAAAAAGTTGCAACAACATAGACCTCCCTCTAGCCATCATTACTTGATAGAGTCACATTATTTTGTTTAATTCAGCCACCATTAGCATGTGTGAGACCACAAATATTCAGTGCGGAAACCTGACCACCGCTACTAGAAGCGTTAACTTCTATTGGTGATCAAATTCCGACCGTTACTGCGATCTACATATTCCCATAACTGCTTCGCATCTAAATAAGGTATCATCAAGTAATAAATAGAGTTTGGATATATTTTGCTCAGTGGCCTAAATATTTATTTATTTATAAACCTTTTTTTTAATGGATGACAACGGAATAATGCATCGGCCTACGCTAATGGTTTACTCTGGCGAGGCACCAGTGTAGATAGGATGAACATGAGGACAGGTTACCTCATCGTAACAAATTCACCAAAAAATTATCACGATGGTTTCCAGAAGGAACCGCGTGGAGTTCAACCCAGTTTAATGCACATTACTAAAAATCACCTTCCCGCCAAAAAAAGTATATATTCTATATTCGCTCCACTGCTTATTATGACATAAAAATAGCCCTTTGTCTGTCTGTGTATAAATAGAGATCTTAGTAGGGCATGTAGGTCGCCTGCTGGGGGACAATAGCCATCAAATGGGTTTACATCGACAGCCCGCAAACAATGCTTGTTACCAGCCTACTTTAGTTATTATAGGGCGACACAGTATATAGTATACAGGTACACTGGGTGCACTTGTTATATTTGCCGACTTCAAAACAAGGATGTTCTCAATTTGATGTTTTTTTTTAGTTTGTTACTACAGCACTATAAACATATCTTACCTTTTTTTTATTAGGAAAGATTTATTTGTGCTTTCTGGTTCTTTCTGGCCCTATAGAATAGAATAGCATATCATCCATACCTATCAGTTCAATATTTTGGTTTTTAATACAATAATTATAACATAGAACGTTAAGTAACAAAAAAAAACAGTGTTTGAGAAACATCTCGATTATATCAGATTTAAAAAAGGAGCTACGATCGTAGATTTAGAAAGAAGTCAACATTTAACACCCTGTTTTTCCTTAGTTAAAAATATTAAAAACTGCTGCTTGTAGATATAATTGATGATATTTTTAATTGCAGTCGTTTACGAGTATGACAAATGACTGGTATAAATTGCACTCAAGATTGATGACAATTATCCACGACATTATATAAACATAAATGCTCTTAAGTACGTAAATTCGTTTAACAAGACCGCAAAGACCAGCAGTGGTCACTCTGCAACGAAATTGAAATAAATCTAGGGGTTAAATAATGTCCACCTCAAATGATTGTACACCAAAAACATATTTAAAATTATTTTTTATATACGTAATCATTAGATAGTATAAAACAAAGTCGCTGTCGCTGTCTGTCCGTCCTTGTGTATGCTTAAATCTTTAAAACTAAGCAACGGATTTTGAAGCGGTTTTTTTTAATGAATAGAGTGATTCAAGACGAAGGTTTATATATATATATATAATACATGTACACCCGTGTGTAGCCGGGGCGAGTAGCTAGTTAACAATAAAAAACGCCGGTCTAAAAGTGCTCGTTCTAAGAAATAAGATTCAACGTGTTAACTTTCTGCATTCACGGCCGTGTGGAAGTTTCCTACGTTTGACATATCTGTCGTTTGACATATAATTTACATAATTTTCTATAATACCTATTACGTGTTTGTAAACAATGGAATGTAATAACATAGTTGTCTTGTTGGTAGTTTGGTCTTTCATGTCGTAAAATGCAACGTTGAG